CCAGCAACAGTCCATAAAAAGTCTACGAAAAGTGCACCAAATATCGATTAAAAGACAACTGACTAAAGTCTACTAAAAGATACAAAAACTCCACCAAAAGTCCACAAAACCCACCAAAAGTCCACTGACTACAAGTCTACTAAAACCCACCAAAAGTCAAGTCCACGAAAAATCCACCAAGAGTCAATAAAGGTTTACTAAAAGACCACCAAGGGTCCCCAAAATGCGCACCAAAAGTCCAGAAAAGCCCACTAAAACTCCACAAAGAGTCCACAAACAAAATCCACGAAAAGCCCGCTTCCAAACTCTGTCACAACCATGACCTAAGCTGAGGACCCCAACGAAACCATGGTTGCAAGGAGTTGTCGGTGCACTGCTACCGCGCTTTGAACTCCACATCTCAGCCCAGCCTAGGGCTTTCAAACGGTTAGAACCATGAGCCCAATTTCTCATTGCAAAATTGTCATCATTGGACTCATTGGAGTGCCTTGTTTCATGCTTTCATCTTTGGACGCTGAAAAACTGCCAAATGCCTTACACCAATGACACATGGCACCTTCGGTGGGCAAATCGAATTCTTCGCAAGGCATCATCCATTCCTTCAGATCTCCATAGCAACATCAACATCTGCCCTTGGGGCACAGGCGAACTTTTGGCGCAAACGCCGATGAATGGCCGGCGACAACCCATTTGCGAGGGCATTGTTTTGGTGTTGCCAAGTGGCATAACATGAACAAATACATTGAATCCCCTGCAAATATCTGCAACTCAGGCTCCTGGGGTCTGACTGCGGTGGAAGATGTATTGAATCCGTGAGTCCATGAGTGTCTATGTTTGGAAAGGTGAGTAGATGAAAAACGTGGAGGATCTGGACTTTGCTTGGCGATGATGAAACTTTGAGTGTGCAAGTACACGACGGTCCATGGGTTTTCTGAAGTCATGAATCTTGTGACTCAACATTGGCAACTTCAATCCTCCTCTGTTTTTTTTCTGGTTGGAAAAACATACAACTGCATCAACTGCGAGCCAAGGAAGCAAGACAGCATCATGGACGAATGACGTATCGGACAACTGCATGCAAGTTCAGAAATGGCCGTGTTGCAAGATCAAGTGAGGCAAAAGGGGAAGCCGAACGTAGGCCCTAGATGGCCCTGGGCCTTATGGGCTCATCTCTCTTGACTTGATATGGGTGCAGGGACGCAGGCTCTACTGATTCACTAATGCTCCCTCAAAACCAAAGCAATTCAAACTCACGCTGAAGATTTGAATAGTGTCCCGTGCGCCCATCCTTTACGGAGCACGGCCGTGTGTCCCTGGCCGAGTTGGCCAAAGGAGTTTGAACCCCAGCATTTGATGGTTATCCAGCAGCACACAAACGCCAGCGACCGAGCACGAGACCTGCGCTGGGACCATGCAACGAACTCACCCGATAAAAGAGAAGCGGTGAAGCCGGAAGATGATTGGAAGATGCAGCTGCTTACCCCAGCAAACCATGCATGATACTCCTAGAGCCGTGGAATTACCAGTTGCCAGATTTGCCACTTACATTCGCAGAGTCTGTAGTGTAGTTCCACTGTCAACTTGCTGTTTAGCTAGCTGCTAGATTCTGAAGATCTCAAGAAGAACTGTCAGAATTGCACGTCCAGTGCAAGTGCTGCAAACACTCTTTCGCTAGCCGATATGGAAAGCAATGTTGATATGTCCATAGTGTGTGTATGTGTGCGCTCATGTTCCTGGTTTCTCCCACCCTTTAAGAGAAACATAGAGAAACACCGCCTGAAATCTTGGCCGCACTCCGCACTGGAGCCACCGCCTCTGTCAGTTTGATCTCCCAATCCTTAAACCAAGGCATGCCAGGGATGCCAGGGATGCCCGGTACTTGGGAAGGGATCTGGTAACGGGAATGACCAACGACAGCCTCGTTCCCGAAAATATGCATTTAAGGCAATTTAAGGCAATTTAAGGTTTGATTTGGCCTTTAATCCAGCAAATTCCTGCAACTGTGTTCTCTTTTTGCCAGCTGACCCTTTGATGCCATTCTGGATCTTGACTAAAGATTTATTCAACCATAGGAACAACATGGAACAACTAATCAAAAACCTACTGGGTGAAGCCAAGGGTGGTGGGCCAAGAAGTTTTGGATCCTCAACCAAGACGTCGCTAAAAATCATTTCAGAGGCATGCTTGCTTCCTGGTTAGCCGGGATAAGGGTCTGTTTCATCTGCCCCTCCCAAAAGACCAACCGAATCTGAAAGCTGAACAATTTTAAGCCAAAAACGTTTTCCACGTGTCCCACAGACTGGAGCGTAAATGCAGGATACATTGTCACCTTGTGATGAGTATCATCATCTTTATTCTGCATTATTTTGCAGGAAGCAGTTTACCGGTTACCGTCAACAAGTCGGGACATCTGCAAAGCTTGATCCAGGCATCCCAATTGCCCTTGAGAGTTTCCACCCCACTTCAAGGAGTTATCCAAAAGCACAGCGCAGGTATGACATTCGCCAGCCGATATCTGTAGAGCTGCTTGACCCAAATCGATAGGACCCAAGAAATCACTCGTCTCAGAGGGATCAGCGCCGGAATTATTCGCATGACCTTGTCCTGACCATGATCACGTCTGCGAACCACTGCATGGAATACGAATGCGCAGCTTGGGAAAACCCAATTTCATCTCATAAACAGTGCAAACCACTGCGAAAATACATCAACTTCGGGCCAAACACGTACAATGACACCTTACGCGCACTTTCAACTTACACGGCGGGCGGAACATCAAAAGACTCACGCGAAGCTTTATTAGGCTCATTACATATGAACCTCTAAACCACGTAGGAGCTGCTTACTTCAAAAGGAATCCAAAAGGCAGCGGCATGAATATATAATGCTTATTAAGCAATTACCAAGTGTATTCTGGCCAAAGTGGCTGACACAACCTTACCAAACCCAACGTTTTGCTAAGGCAACCCAGTCAAAACGTGTATATACACGGAGGTTTCTGACAATGCTCACATGATAATACGATAAAATGATACATTAGCTAGGCCCAAAAACATATTATGCATCACACAATGTAGAAAACACGTACGTGAGATGCAAACATGCCAGCCCGCCAGCGCTGTGCACAAATTCGTGTGAACATGGATGCGCAATCGTATGCGCAAGTAAGCCCGCCGGTGAGCGTGCAGGTGAGCGGCGAGCGCGCAGGAGAGCACGAGACCGCTCATATGCGCACACTGTGTCCGCTCACTTTGATTCGCGCATCCACTTTGCTTGGAAAATATCAAAGCCAAAGCACACTCCCCGGTAGCGCTCACACTCACACCAGACCTAGCCCTAGCTGTCCAAATCTGTTGTCTCCCCAGCACTTGGCAGAGTCATCATCCAAGATTGCACAGACATGAAACGTGCCAGCCGAAATCTGCTTGGCAGTACGACCAGCACCCAAAGACACAGGCGGTGAATCTCCTTGGTTGTTGCATCGAATCCAATGCATCTACAAGATGTTGCATAGCTTTGCAATTCTGGACTTGGGGTCCTAAATTTGACGTAGGCACGGCATACTTGGATAATCCTGGACATCACTCAGCCACTCAGCATCCTAACTACTTTACGCCGTTGCGCCTAGTTTCCCATCTGGCCGACTTCTGAACCCCAGAGATTGTCGAAGATGGCCACACCATGCCACACCAAGATCAATGCTTGGGAGGTTGGTTCCCATCTCTCCACTTTCATCTCCCCACTGCCCAGGAAGTTTCTGGTAGTCGGCATTTCCCCGACATTTCAAGGTGGTCTTCTCCAAGACTGCACAAGCGGTCATGTCTCCGGCAGAAAGCCGCGATGCCAAGTAATTCGCTTCCTGCTGCTGACCTTGCAATGGCATGCAGTGGCCGCAAGGAATCTGAATGAAACATCCAACCCAGTACAAAACGACCCAGCAAATCCAAGCAAGAGCGAACAAAGACACATCATTACAATCCTCATATCAACAAATCGTCCAAGGTGCATAAAAGATGCCAAAAGAAAGATGTCACACAGCTTCCCAAACATGTCTGGAGGACAGCGCTGTCTGCAAAGAGCCTCAATGCTTTCCTATACAGTCCTACCTACTGCTGAATTTTCTTTTGAAACGCAAATGGATGCAAATCATCAGTCTCTTGAGCATCTGGTTTGAGGTCAAAAACCCTTGCATGCTATGTTGAAGTTCCTATCCTCCTCCTTGTAGTCTGAGCCAAGAACTGAACTGGGAGAGGGTATGCCATCCGGGTATGCACTGCGGGCTCTGCACTGCAGGGTATGCAATTCTTGGTATGCCCTGCCTCCCCCCGTGTACCCCCTGCAACATGCGCCTTTTTCACGGGCTCACGGTCACTGGAGGTCACTGGTTTACCCAGAATAAATGCGACACCACAGGCGTTGCTGACCGCGATCCATGATACTCAAAGATTTCAAGCATTTCAGTATACATTTACTTGCCGACGGGAGTCCCTGAAGTAGGGAGAATCATTGCCGGTCATCGTGACAGAAACTAGCAGATTCTAGATTCAACTACCGATAGTGAATACGTCACAAAAATGCAGAAGTCCCTGGGACCCCAGGGGGGTCACTGGGCGGGTTAAGGGGTCCTGAGCCCATCCGTGGCACGGTCGTCCATGGGGACGACTCGGCACGAGCTCTAAAATCTGTGTGCACAGAAACAGGAGATTCCTGGAAGTTGAAGTGCACATTCTGCGCATATAAGCATGCTGTGCAAAAAGGTTCACAGTTGAGGTTCATAGTGGTTCAAAACTCTTGTTTGATATGGCATGTGTTGTTGACAAGATTTGACAAGGTACCTAGTTGTGTCGAGAAATTCTGAACCACTGCCACTGCTTCAAACTGTAAAAAAACAAAAGCGGCTGCAAAATATTGCAAAATGCTGCAAATACCCTTCTTGTTCAAGAAAAAGTTTGCAGCTTGCAGCTCAAAATTCAAAATCGGTGATAATGAAAGGCTCAGGCTCAAACACGAATCTCGGTGATAATGCTCTCTTGTATGAGGCTCCCAGCACAGGAATCACTATCAACGTTTTTGACAATCACCGGGCCTTCTGAATCCTCATCTGAATGATCTTCTTCTGTTACTGCTGGAATTTGGGCTACAAACCAGTCGTCCTCAGTGGGGGCGGTGAAGCCAATGCACTGGGGGCCCTCCAGATCCGGGGCATCCGAAGCATTCGGCGCATCCCCAATATCTTCCGGAATCCAGTAGCTTCTGTGCACCTCGACACTTAAACTGCGAGAATGCGCAGCCTTTGGCAGTGTTTTTTTTTTGGGGGGGGAACTTGACTGCTTATGTAGCTGATTATCCGCCCAATATATCCATCCACACATTCCCAATGAAATCTGGGTAACAAAATTAGTGAGCGGTTGTCAAGGCTAATTTCGGGGCGCTTTGAACTGCCAGCTCCGAAGGTCCTTTGAACATCTTGGAACTCAGAAAAACATAGAAAAACGTTTATTCCTGTGCAGCCAGGCCACTTTCCGGCTGCATGTAACTGCAAGGGTTGCAAGGCTTGCGAGTACCAATGCCATTAGCAAAGGCAAAATGATCAAATCCTGGCACAAACGGAGCCATCCCACAGCTGGTTTGATGAGGTTTGATGAGGTTTGATACACCAAGGTCTGATATTATGAGGATTTGGATGGATTTGGGCCATTTTCAGTTTCGGTCTTTGTGTTTGTGTGCCGTTTTAGAGCTCACATGTGTTTATCTTTTCGGCCGCCAACTTCAAGCAATGGATCCTGAAGCAATGTCACACCACAACTCTCCAGCCATTCAGCCGCATCTTCAACTGAGACATTGGCAAGGAAACTTAGGCAATACCTGACTGCTGCAAGAGCAACGCCAAATTATATATTCTGTAAAATTGCGATGCTGGGATGCCCCCTTCGTTTCTCTTTCCTTAAATTACAACTGTGAAAAACTTGCACAAACCTGTTGGCAAATCAAATCGTTGGACAACCGTTCGACTTTGTAGAGCCCAAGTACAACACGCATGCGCCAATGTGAACTATGGAGATGCTCCAGAAAACCACACTTCTGCACCGCCATCTTCTGCGATAGTTCTCTTTCAATTCGTCTGTCCACTCAACTTCCGGCTTCGGCTGACGCAGTTGCACGAAAAACAAAAAGAAAATCACAGCATCGCCTCAGAACATCACCTCTGATGAGGCAGTGTTTCCGAATATGTTTCTGGCAAGCACTTGGCGCCCGAACTCATTGCGTGGACGCGTTTGGGGCATCAACTTCTTAAGCAAAGACTTATGATTCTCGATGTTTCCAACCAATAGCATTCAATAACTTTGGGGGTCTGTGGGTCACTTAAATACAATGCTGGATATGAAAACACACACACACACACATGCACACACCGCTTCCCACTGCACACCGATGAAACATCTAGGAAGGGTGACCCCTTGTCATTGACTTTACCAATCCCACTAGACTTGGCGGAAAGGCAGGTTTAGGCCCTTTAGGCTTCACCGGCGAAAAAATTGGTGAGTGCATATCCGGAAAAAATCAATCTATGGCCGATGATTGACGTGAAACGGCCCAATCAAAGGGAAAATCTGGGTTCAAACGCCTGGGAAAGCAAACAGCCTTCCAAAATAATTAAAATCCCCCGGTCAAGAGAAAATTAGCTGATGGACGCGGGCTAGTGAGGCCTGGAGGTTGCAAAGTAAACTTATCACTCCATCTGTTTTTCAAGTAGAATCCGCAAATCACTTCACGAGTGGGATCTGGAATGCCCCACAGGTTTGAAAGGCTTGTTGCGAAACCCCTCCCCAGATTTACTGGTTTACCGGTTCCGGTTCATTGTGATTTTGATGGCCCACAAATCAACTTACAAATGGATACAAATGGGATTTAGGATGCCCACAACTTGAACACAAACTTGAAATTGTCAGACCATGTCTCCGAGGAAGGCGGACAAAACGCCCACCGTGACATTCTGGACCATCTCCCTCCACAGTTCCTCTGGCTGCTCACACTCAGGGTCGGAGTCTGGTGTCTCTGCTTCGCTGGAGAAGAATAAGGCAGCGGCCGCCGCAGCACTGATCCTTGGCTCCACGGAAAAGCGGTAATTACAGCTAGTGGCGAGATGTGGCGAGAAGTCTTCACTCCAAATGCCAAAAAAAAACTTCAAATTTCTCTTGGGCAATATGTCTACATCGTCTACAAGGATTTGATCCACACACATTTGATCACGGTCGCTCTTGCAGCAGCAAGACTAGAATTCCCAAGTTCTTCTCCAATGCTGCCCCGTACGCAAGGGTGGCGCAGCCATTGCAAACCAATTTGTTGGTTTCAGACTCCCACTGCAAACTTTGCTTTAAAAAAAACATCGGGGGTCAACCAAAGGGTAATCTCAGAATGTTTCTGAGCAAAGAAAAAATGACAAATTTCTTATTCACGCACCAATGCCCAACGTTCTAAAACACTGTTTGCGTTGAATTGCCGACCCCATTCAAGTTGTGCCCGCCTTGTGGCAGAAGGTTCCTTCGAATAAATCATCGAATCATCACCCCTTGAATTCCTACAAAATTAATTATATAGCTGATCAGCATTCCACAATCTCATTTGGACCAAGATTCAGCTTCATGATAATCAGCGTTGTCCGAGTGGTATGTGAAGTGAAAATACTGATTCTTGTATTCTCCGCCCAAGGATGCAGGGCTGGAAACAGCAAGCGAAGCCTTGCGAACCTTGGACCATCAGAGCTTTGGGCGCTATCGGGCATCTGTGCGGCACGAAATTAGGTGCTGGTTGGCTGTTTCGCAAGCGCACTGAACACATTAAATTACTATTTTTTCCTGTCCTTTGAAGGATGTCTCGTGGAGTAATAAGGAGCATCTTTTCGTCACGAAATTTGGTGGTGCTTTGCTGCTTCGCAAGCGCACTGAACAAGCTAAAATCTCAATCTCAATTTTTCATCAGGTGTTAGAAGTAACGTTAGGTGTTTTTTGCGGTCCTTTGAAGCATGTCTTATCGCAGTAACGAGCATCTTTTCGTCAAACCCTTGGGGCATGGCCGGTGTGCGGCGAAGCCCTACAATTTGGCTCCGCCGGCTCCCCACACGCCAAGCCGCCAACCCTCGGGGCTCCCCAAAAACAACAAGAATCCTTCAACGAGGTGGGGGAAAGCTTTTTCGACGGAACCCGGTTTACCCGTAACATTTTTAAAACTCAAAAAACAGTGCCGTTTTATCACATGTTTCGGACGATGTTTGGCTTTCGAAAGCAACAAAACACTGTAAATTACAATGTGCTTCTGCTGTAGGAACAGTGCAAAAAGCAAAACATGCCACAAACACTAATGTTTTTGGAAGCTAAGCAGAGATGCAAAAAAAACTTTAAACACCAGTGTTTTTGAAGGCAAAACAAAAAAAGTGCTGTAAATTACGGTGCTATTACAGCGCTTTTTGTTGGTTGACCGCAAAAAAAAACTGGTATTTACACGATTTTGCCATATCATCAGGAAAAAATGGAATGCACGAAACACTGCTTTTGGACGTTGAAACGCTGGTATTTAAGCACTTTAGTTTCGCGTGATGGCGCCGAAAGCCTGCAAACCATCATGACCGTAAAAACCGCTGGTGCTTACACGTTTTTGAAAAAATTGAAAACCGTGACTTGCAAGAAACCATATAAATAACAGTGTTTTGGCCACTTTTGCGGGTTAAAACTGTGACTTTACGCAAGTCTTTGCCATCTGACAGCGCAAAATGGTGTAATTAAATTACAACACTTTGTGCACTTTTTATTTCCAAGTTTTGAATCAGTGCTGCTCTTCACATTCTTCAGCAAGAAACAACGCACACAGATTGAAACACACCTTCTTGACCTGCTCAAAAATAAAAGAGAACCGAAAGTTTCCAACAGAGTTCCAATACCATGAATATGTTCGAAAAGAATGTCCTTAAACAAAAGCAGCCTTTGAAGCCCACCCTGCGATGAAATGACCACTGACCGCGAATTAAAAGGTCAAGTAAGCCGGAGCCGAGGATGAGCGTCAGCTCTTAAATCCGTGAGAATCATCTGGCACCTCGTCATAACTCAGTCGCTTTACCCCCCAAAATGATCCAAAATGTCCATACCGGGTGATGCCAAATGTCCAGCAAATGTTCAGGCACTGTTTTGGGCAAAACCAACCAGAAATTGAAAGAACCTAGTTGCAATCAGCTACATTATGAAATTGAACGTCAAGGTGCGGATATGTATATAATGTACAGTCGGTAATCCTGTTTGTAGCCGGGCTCGGACATATGTACGACACTTCGGACCATTCTCTCCCTAAATAATTGTTCTGAGGTGGTGCCCAGATCCGAAAATTTCAGGTATTTACAAAATTGTATTTGCTTAACTTTGCTTACAAAACTCGTTAAACGGTCCGTGTAGCCTACCCTACCTACCCTTGCACACTGTAGCCTCTCGCGGAGAAATGCTCCGTGCAACCGACCTTTCAACCTTCGCAACGGGTAGCCTCTCCAGAAAAAAAAACACTACCTAAAATATGCTGCTGCTGGCATATCATGTTCAAAGTTGAAATGATCATAACTGGGTGCTTTCCATTTTTAGTCAGAAGGCCATGAACTGGAAAAAAATGTATCCACTGCCCATTTCCACTGATTGTTGATCTCGGTCTCCGTGAGACTCTGCCGCTTGGCTTGAACTGAATGCGTTGGTTGACCTTATGGAAGCATTGCATCGCCGAAGTTGCAAAGAACAACACGTCTTTGCTTTCAATATCGGTACATTCCAGCCCCATGCGGCAGATGAAAGCTGGAAGTGCCTGCTTTCAAGTACTTCAACATCTCAAGATAACTTTTGGGTATTGTACCCAAACATACAAAGAACATGTCTTATCAATATGTTGTAAGGCTCTAAGGAAGGAGTGCGTGGTTTCAGATTGTCAGGAAGTCAAAGGGAATTCTTGCATTTGCCGTTACCTTCAAACAGAAACTTCTTGACCTTCATGCAGCTGTGCGGCTTGAATCAATCCTCACAGTGGATTTAGGTTTCAAATGATTCAACATGTTTGCGTATATATTATTGTATTGTGTGTGTGTGCGCGAGTCATGAATATTTCGTCATGACGAGCTCTTGAAGCTACAAAACCTCACGAACGTGTTTGCCAACTCCAACTCCTCAGAATTGCTTGCTCCACAAAAACAAAGTGGCTACAGAGTATTTGCCAGTAGAAATGGTTTGGCCCTTGATGTTTCAGAGAGTAGGTTTCGCAATGCTTCACTGTCTTCCACTGGAGCTGAATCTCTGAACGGTCCTGTCTTCTCCAGCCAAGACTTTGGTGATGTCACCGACTGCATGAAGGCGTCTCTTGAGGTGCCTGTCTTGTGCGCGTGGATCTGTTCGATGCAGCGGTCCACCACGCCCACGGCAGCCTGGGCGGCGGGTGTGGGGGGATATCAACCTGCGACCCGTAAGTCCGCGACTCACTAGTCCGCGACTCACTGTTGATCCGGTCGCAATCCCATGCTGCTCAGTCTGCTTCCCAGTCTGCTTGCCAGTCTCTACTCAGTCTGCTTCCCAATGTGCTCCTCAGCCTACTACCCAATCTGATCAGTCTGCTACTCAGTCTGCTACCCAGTCTGCTTCTCAGCCTCCTACTCCTAGGCAGTCTGCTTCCCAGTCTGCACCTCAGTCTGCTCCTCAGTGGGCTCCTCAGCCTGCTACTCAGTCTGCTGCTCAGTACCCAGTCTGCTACCCAGTCTGCTACTTAGTCTGCTTCTCAGTCTGACTCAGTCTGCTACCCAGTCTGCTTCCCAGTCTGCTACTTAGTCTGCTTCTCAGTCTGACTCAGTCTACTACTCAGTCTGCTTTCCAGTCTGCTCCTCAATCTGCCACTCAGTCTGCCGCCCAGTGCCCCAGTCTGCTACGCTGCTACCCCGTCTGCTCCTCAGTCTGCTACCCAGTCTGCTACTCAGTGCTCCCCAGTCTGCTACTCAGTCTGCTTCCCAGTCTGCTACCCAGTCTGCTTCCCAGTCTGCTACTCAGTCTGCTATTCAGTCTGTGCCCAAGTCTCTGGCAAATTGAAGGATGGGTCAAAGGGTGCCCACAAGGAACAGCGAAACCGATATCTTAGGCAGGATTGCACAGCAAAGTCTTTGGAACGGAATGGTGAAACAAGCGCAAATGGACAACTGCGCACCTTCAAGGGCGTCTGCTCGATTAGATAGCAAAAATGCAGAAACGACTGAGAATAGTTCAACAAATCTCCAGGACTACTTATGCCATGGCTAGTCCATAATTCCCAGTTTAGTGGTTTGGGAAAAAAACCAGCGCCGGCTTCCAAATCATACAAAGCATGGACATTGAGAGTGAACCCTTGCCAAACCATGCTTCTGGGAACGTGTGGCTGAATCAGTTGATATGTAGATCGACGAAAACGGTAAATCAATTTTCTTGCTTTTGATTGAGCCATGTTGGACCCACATATTCCCGGCAGAAGAATAAAGAAACCTCGAACCCACCTGCAACCCACCTGCCCTTCGGCTGACCCAGCACCAACGTCCCTACTGACGTGCAACATTTGGAAGTAGCTCCTTCACAACTTCAGCGAGGTTTTCGAATCCAAAGAGCCTGAAATTCTGATTGAGTTGTGGTGCCGGGAAATACTGATAATTGGTGCCTCTTCTTTTGGATGCTATTAGACTTCTCTGTTGTGAATTGGAAGAGTCCGTCCCGTGCCATTGGTCGCATTCAGTCGGCTCTCCCAAAAATATGCTGGGCCATTAGCCATGTAAAGCAGCGGTGCGGAGGATGTAAGAATGCGTATGGCTCTGATTGCACAACCCCACTTCAGAGCTTCGGTCCAACAACATTTATATATTTCCACTGTATTTGTTGCACTGAAGAGCAATCACCCATATTGTTGTTCCTCCATCAATGATGATGACTGTACTTATCTACACTAATTATACTGTATATAAAAATATTATATATATATATATATTTATCATAATTATTTATATATTTATTATATAGATTTATATAGTATATATATATATTATATATCTATATATTATATATATACAGTATTCCAGGTGGTTCCCTAAAGAAATCGTTCAGATTCATTAAAGCAAACATTCAAAACCTGGCAGCAGCCCGACGCACCACAGGAGCCATTCGCAACCAGTCTGTATGCTCTCTTTGCAACCACCGCTACAACACGTTTTCCGTTTCTCCTGCTACGGCACCGCTTACCCGAGAGTAGGGCAGTACAACCTCCACATGGCCCCTTGATGGTATGGCCAAGATTCAATCTTGTACATGTCTGTATGCAAGGTGTATATATGTTCTTCATCCGGGTTATTCATCTCAATAAAATTGTAGCATGCGGTCACTGACATATTATCTTCATTAGGCCAGAGCAGGGTAAGTCGCAGTCCTCGTCGAGTTGTGCGCTCCTTAGTACTAAACCAATATGATCTTGGAATGTGTCGAAATCGGTGGGAAAAAACTATTGATTATTGACTGTTCATATCATGCACATTTGGATTTGTTTCACTTTTGATGACCAGTTTATGTAGAGGTGGACACCCAGACTTCGGGGCAAAACACTGCTGGAAGACCAAACCTTAAGCAGTCTTTCAAAAACAAGTAAAACGATAAAAACAATAACCAACTGATGTGCACCAAAAGAAACAAAATAATAACGGGGACAAAACAAAACCAGAAAACACATCAAAAAAAACAAGGAAAAAAACAAAAAAGGCACAAAACACCACAACAAAATATTACGTCGTGGACAATTGTGGAAAAGTCCGGGTTTCGGCAGTTCTTTTCAAAGTGTTACAGTTGTGATTTGTTTTTTTTCTTTTCCTTGGCCAAAAGGGTCCTCTCTCCAACCCTCATGATTTTCCATTCGTTATTTTTGTTTTCTGTTTTTGTTTATCGTTTTTTTTGTCAATTTGTTTCCAATGCCTTGTTTCCTCTTGACAGTCACTAAATATAACCACTCCTGAATTGCGTTTGCCCATTGGCAGAGCTGTACTGAAAACATGGTTTCCAACAGTGCCGCCTCAAGGTTGCCAGCATCAAGGGTTTGATGATGTTGGATGCACGATTGTCTTTTCTTGCGCAGTTGAGCTTGTAATTGCACACGTTCCACCATTGTTTTCGAGGTCGCTGCCTTGCTGAAGTCTTTTCAACAATCTCCGGCTAAATTTAACACCATTTGTCGACGCCTTAAATATTCTGAAACACACGGGGCCCTACTCATAAAAACATCCACAAATTCGCCGGCCTGCCGGGGTGTCTGATTGGAAGGTGTTGTTCTTGTTTCTGTTCTTGGCTTGTGCTTGTTCCTTTGTTCTCTTGCTGTGCGTCTTTGCTTCATCCGTATCAAGTCCCCCCTCCACCCCCCCTTCCCTCCCGCCCTTCCGGTTTTTGTTTTGGACCGAACCCTACCAATATATAGCATGAATGCTGAGCATAGTTTACATACGCTGTCAAGGCTCAAGAGAGAGATTTAGTGGTATAGCTTGTACACTAGGCGCTGCGCTGACTGGGAAAGACGCTCTGGCTGATCCTATCGGGACGCTATTGCCCCTCTTCAAGTGGTAGTGGAGCTGTGATCCTGCATCGCCGGTAGAGCCCGATAATGGCAAGCCATGGCTATGATGATGACTTCGGCATTGTCGATGCAGATGACTCATGGAACCAGTATGACCCTTACGTAATGAGAAGAGCACCCCAACAACCAGCAATTCACATGACTCAGCAGATGACCACGAAGGTTGCCCCTGCCTATGATGGAAGGACCAGTTTCTTTGCTTTTGAGGATGCAGTTGATGGTTGGTGTGACATTAAAACGTGGACCTGCATTGAGGAACAGATTCGAAAGGTGATGCATCTCAATACAAAATACTACTGAACAGAGAGTTGTTGAGAGACACAAACGATGGTGTGAACTATTTCAAAAGATTCTTGCGACCCCATTTCATCAAGGGAGCCCAAGCCCTGTTCTTGTATCGATTCATGCAGTTCATGAAGCACAACGGAGGAACAGTGGATTTACAGAGATGGATGACCAGATTTCAACTCACAGGAAATAGACTCATTGAGCCTTGGATGGATCTCTTACGTGATTTGGAGATTACCAGTCCAGAAGCAATTGCGCATGTTGCGCAGCGTCGCCAAACTCATGAAGCTAATCCGATGAACCAAGCAGGCATTGCAGCAGCTACTCCAGGTGCAAAACCACATGTCAATGTACCTTGGACAGATGAGCTCGCAATGGCAGCATTTTTGCAACTCAACGAAAACAGAAGGATAACAGAGAAGGGCATTTCCCTTAGGTGACAACTTGTTAGCATTGATTTTGGTAAGTCTGGCAGATTTGACGCAAGATCAGAGGAACACACTCGCGAGTATCATGACACATTGTGGAAGAACATTAGATCAGTACAGTGTGCAAGAACTCAGAGATTTATTCCTGGACATGTTTTGCACAACAAGAACAGCAGTTGGCAATCCTATGATGCAACCCTTTAGGACAGAGAAGATCTTGCCTCGTTCTGGATTGAAGGTGAATTAGAAGGAACCGACGGCCATTGGGCCGAAGATGATGAAGATGGCGCAGAAGGATTCCTGGATGCTTTAGAAGATGTCTTCTGGGTTTATAATGGCGCTGAATTCACATGGTATCAGTGTTCCAAGGCAGACAGACCAGAAGAGGCAAGGGTAAAGGAAGAAGAAAAGGAACAGGGAAAGGCAAAGGAGGAAGAAGATTCTTCAGATCAAGGAAAAGGATGGGGAAAAGGAAGAAAGAAAGGCCGCTCTCACATGCTAAGGAGAAAGGGATGAAGGAGATGAATGGAAGGATTCATGGAATGAAGGCTATTGGGTCGATGATCAGAACTGGAAGGCTATTGGGCCTATGAAGATCTGTATTACATGGATGAGTATGGATATTTCCAGAAGAAAGGAAAAGGAAAGGGAAAGAAAGGCAACAAAGGCAAGGATGATGAAGGCAAATGGGGAAAACCAGGAGATGGAAAAGGAAAATCCAATGCTCAACCTCAGACCTCATCAACTCCTGCTTTGCAGAATTGCAGAATCAACAACAACAAGCTCATTACTCTTCAGCAGAATCAAGATCAGGGCATGGTTTTCTTGCATTTGCTGAGACTTACCCTGCACGTGTGGATGTTTTGACAGCCACCTATGAAGAGCAAGAGTACAAGAGACGTACACGTCGAGTATCCATATGGGTTGCTCATTGGCTGATCAGCTGCATGGTTCAGATTCCTTTCTGTTTTGAAAGCCTTCTGGTATCAAACCATGAATGGATTCTGCTGTTGGATCAAAATCAGCTTTTTTCACCAAGAGGTCCAAAAACAAGCTTTCCATAGTTTGGTGGAATCCCGTGACCCGTGAACTGCCAGGCTGTGTTTCTGATGTTGTTTGGAATGTCACCTCCTTCGACAAAACCAGTACCTTTCTCCTTCTTGACATGTTCAAAGGCGATGTCTCAAGGCCAGGTTCCTCCAGTGACTGATGATGGCAACATGTGTCCTCTTCCAGGTCTCAAGACACCCATAGCCACTGTGGGTAACTGTTCAACTTGCTTGAGATAAAGTGGTGGCACGTTGCCATAAAACAACACGACCCCATTGCTCGGTAAAAACAACTGCCGAGTCACACAAAAGTCGGGAAATAACACAAAATACACCGGCTGCTTATAATGACGAGGTGGCTCTGTACCTTCTGCCATTCTGATATAACCTGGTGCACTGCCGTTGTGGTACATGAAGTGGACTGAGTCTCTGCCACCTTTTCCATGACCCTTGGGATCTGTGACCAAGCCAGAGTTCTGAATGGAGCTTGCAGTGGCAACATCAGTAACCAGGAAACATCCTAGGCACATTGCCTCATCATAAGTGAGTGGATGATGCAGAGAAAAAGGATTCACCACCTTGTTGGTATGACCCTGAGTACATTCCATCCTCACTTCAAAAGGATATGTAGGAGGAACTGCATAAGGCTTCCATTCCCACTGAACATGGCTATCGACAAAGAACCGTTGGTTTGGATTTGAGAGGAGAAATGAGGCAAATTCAGCACCTGACATGCCATAGTTGATGGGTCTCTTCCAGTCCATCTTCTGAAACAAACCTGCCATATTCATACTGGCTCTGCTGTTGAATAACAATCTGTCCTTGCAATGTCTGAGTTGATGAGAAAGCTCCTTGCTGCAAACCAGATATTGTGAAGGCTTGGCCTTTCCGGTAAGGTAGGCTTACCTCAGGTCTTGGTTGCCTACAGTTTGCAGTCATGTTGATTTCAGACATGATGTATTTCTGTTTAGGTGACTCCCTGAGGGATTCTTGGCTATTTTTTGAATTTGTGCCTGCGGCTCAAGAAGTAGAGACCAGAGGTTCGCACTGTTATATATTTTACTACCATGGCTGGGTCGACGGCACAGGCCTCAAGCAGGCCATACAACTCCCAGCATGATGATGAGGAAAGACACGGGTCACCAGCATAGGGATATGGTACCCGAACGAAAGAGGTAATCCACAAGAAAATGAGAGAACACCGCTCACTCTACCCAATGAGGACCATATGGCCTTTTGTGCAGAATATCGTATAAGATAGAATGGTTGCAAGCTCGCGAAACGGTGAGGCAGAAACGTGAAAGATCTCTTCTTTGTCTCCTCTGTCCAAGCAACATGTCAGGTTTTGAGCGACACCAAATGGCAATGGATTCTGTTTCTTGGTGCCTTTCTTGGGGTTCAGCCGAAAAAGAGTTTGATAAATTCTTGAAATGGCAAGTTGAGTTTGTGAAGTATCTCTGTGGACGGCTCACCCAAGATGAAGAAGACTGGCTAGAGAAAGTAATGATCTAAATGGAGGATGAGCATCCATTTCCTTAAGAACACCTTGGCTAACAGCATCAACAAGATTCTGAGGGTTAGCAGACTTCTTGGTCAAACAATCAGCCAAAGACCATTGCGTTCTGATATGTGACAAGTCAGCATTGGATCACCTACGATTTGCCCGCAAAGTTTGTTCAAAGCCTTGCCATCACCTATGGTGGGTGCAGCAGCAGCAGAAGCACAACGTGAAAACTGACTTGAGGCTGGGGGTGGATGACGAAAGCTAGCGGGGTAGGAGAAAGAAGGAAGGGAAGACGTATCTTCAGTGTCAGCAGGGAAATGTCGGTGGCGTTTCCGCTTCAAACCCTTTGGTGTCATGGCGAGATTTCACGCTGTGCGTTTTCCATGGCGAGGCACGGCTAGGTAAGAGCGCAAAGCCGCGTTGATTCTGACATTGGCCCAGGTACTTGAATGCACTTTGTTTACTAAGCAAATGGAGCACAAAATGATAGAAAAGAAAAAGGCTTGAAAAGACGACAATGATTTGAAGATTATTTTTTCGGTCGGGCAAGTTAAGCCACCCG